CCCCGTTGGTGAGCTCCGTGTCCACCGGTGGTTGCATGTTACAGTCAGAACCACTGTAACCATTAGGACCCCAGCGGCTGTAGGACCGGCGCTGGATATGTAAGAGGAGCACAGAGCCCTTATGGACGCAGAGCGATGATGCTTTGGGCTGAAACCCTCTTTTTTGCCTTGTTGTAAGTCATTGCTCAGCAGGGGAACTTCATCTGCTCTGCATGCTCAAGCCCTCTCTTCCCCAACCCCATCCCATCTCCTGGCCACAGGCTGTTCTCACTGAGGTTCTTCTCACGGCCTTTACATGGGAGCTGCAACGTATTACTGCGACAAAATAACAAGTACCTGGAGCTGGCGAGGCCTCATGTACTGGAGCTGGTATTGGAGCACTTAACGGTGGCCATCAGGATTTGGAGGGAGGAGGTGTGTATTTTCGAAGGACAATTTTGGTTTATTAAGTTGTCATTCAAAAGCCTGTTTCACCTCCTCCATCTGACATCAAAACCATCCTACTATGGTTCAAGCGGCAGCAGGGCAGCTGTTTGGGGCAGAAGGAAACACGGATGGCGCTCGCTGGCCTGTCACCCCGCTGCTTTCACCGCCGGAGGAACAGTCACTATGGATCACAGCCTCCTTTGCTAATCGGACCTGGCTGAGCTTAAGCTGCTGCTCCATTTGTCTTCAGCTCCCTCCTGACCGCGGAGACGTCGTGCCAGTGGGGCTAATGGAAAAGCCCTGCAATTTGGAAACAGTTCCAGCAGCGCTCCAAGGAAGCAGCCAGCCCGGCGCTGCCTGCCGCGTCCCAGGGCCGCACAGCTCGCGGTAGGGGAAGGCAGCGTGAACGCACGCCTTCGGCTCGGAAAACAACCTGGCAAACTTGACTCAGAAAAGCAATCAAAAAACCGGTCGCCACAGTTCCCTCTCCTGGCAAAGAGCTCGCAGGGGCTGCGTGGTTTTTATAGTGCTGCGGACGAGCCAGAGGCAGGGCCAGGTGCCCAAGTGGCCCTTGCAGAGGGGAGGCAAGACGAGGACGGAGGCTCTGGAGGGGTTGAAGACTTTGCATTTTTTACCAGCTGTTTTGCAACTTTGCTTTTAGCCGAGCTGTGCGGTTCCCATTGCACCGCTACCGACTGCTTGCATGGCACTCGGCACAGGCTGTTGAAATCAGTTTTACAAAGTGCTCTCCCAGTGCAGAACTGTATCAAACTGGGGGCAACTCTTTGCTCTAATGCAAAAAAAAAAAAAAGTCCTGTTTCTTCCCTCCGCTATCCCTGATTGCCTAAGCATCAGAGCGAATCTCATGCACAGGTGGTTTGTATATGCTTCATTCTGGAGACTGGAGTAGCTCTGTTTAATTACGTAATTTTTGTCCCAGATGAGTTACCCCACAACGAGCCCACATATTAATTCACAGAAGCACAAAATATTTCATTATTCTCTTTTGTTGCTGCTCATGGATAACTTTCGCCCTTATCAGAAAGGTGAGCTCATGGCAAAAGGAAAATCCTAAAGAGAGGTTTTACATTGTACTCCAAACATATCCAAGGAATCATCCACGTTTCCTCTCCACGGGCTGGGAGGGTGCCGCACAGCCAAAGCCCAGGCTTGGTTAGCAAGGAGGGGCGCAAGGTCCCTGAACTGCGCCCGCCACCCTGCCTGTACAGAGAATTAGCAAAGTCTAACTCGTAGTCCCGAAGGAGGAGACAGAGTCAGCCTTAGGCTGCGCCTGATGCTGGGAGTGACCCCTCGAAACAAGGAATAAAAAGCAGCATGGCCTGACCGTAGCGGGATTTCAGCAGGCTCCTTAAACAGTAAGCAGACAGTTCAAATCATATTGCGCAGCACCTTTACCCACATCTACTGGCATCTTCTGGGAGGAATAGTATATGCTGCTTGCACTTCCCTGCTGTATGTGTATGCATACGCATGCTTCACACAACAGTGAAATACTGCAGGAATTAGGGGTGTTTTTAGGTATAGCCTGTCCTGTCAGAAATGTGCTTGGGTGTGTTCTCTCCAAAACTTAACAAAAATTTGTACAGACTTCCTAAAACCCCTGCTGCTTTTCAGTGCACGATTAACCACAGGAACCCCTTCAAATCCTTCTGTTACAGGCTATGCTGCTGCAACACAAGTGCCGGTGGAATAAGCCTTTGTGAGAAAAGGCCGTCTGTTTTAAGACGGATTTTCCTTTTTTTGACAAATAAAATCCTACTCTTTGAATTTAGCAATGTGATTGTTACAAACTAACTCCAACAGCTGCCAGATGGCAGTTCAAAACAACGGGCTGCTCATGGGCTCAGGAACTTGAAGAGACGCTTTGAGATGACGGCGTTCTGCAGGACATTGTACGACTTCAGATTCAATATCTGCCTTTGAAAATATCAAACACCGTATGGTGTATTGGTCCTCTTCAATTCCTCTTACAATCAAAGGAAGAAAAACCATTTCAGACCTGAAAGGAGAGCAGGCGACACTACATGGCTCTTACTGCAAGCATGCGAAAATGTTAGTTGGTGGCATGAAACTGTGCAAATACATGTTTGTACATGCACAGAAGTGACCATTAGCAGTTCAGTCTCCCATAGCTCCCTTGCTAACATGCGTTGACACCATTTTGCGGTTTTACTCTGGGGTTCATAGGAAATACTTGCACAGGACATACTTCCTAGGATGCCCATAGAATCATATTTAACAACAAGATGATTTTTTTCCATGACTTTAATGGCAAACCTCCGAAGATCTGTTCAGTGCCACTCCGTGGTGTCGTACCAACCGCTGAGTCACAACACAATTAAAAATAAACTGCAGTAAAAATAGTCAGATATTTGTGACTGGGTAAGGAACAGTCATGGGGCCAGTAAGCAAAGCCCTGCCGCGAGCTCCTGGTGTCAGAGGCACCGTTTCTGCCTGTAAAAGCATCTTTAACAGCAGCTGAGCGCCAGCAGCACGCTTGCCACCACGGGCCGGTCCCCCCCGCGCAGTCACCGTCCCCAAGGCCCCGGCCAGGCCGCGGCTGTGAGGGACACGCTCAATACCTGGACGGTTATTTATACAAATAAATAACACGACGAAGCAGAGAAGACTCAGGCCTTACATTTTATTGTTGTAGATGAGAAAACAAAAAAATCGGGCTTGTGATCGGTTGAACGCACCCAGGCAACAACTTAAAGCCACCTCTGTGGGTCCCCCCTTCCCAAGCGGCTGGCCCGGCCCCGCGGCAGCCGCGGCACCTCCCTTCGCTTGCCGGGAAGTTCACAACGCATTTTTACGGTGGGCCCACAAACTCCCGCTCCCCATCCAAACACAAATTTCAAAAGCAAAGCGGATGCTTCCATGGCCGTAATAAATAGAGTCCCGTACGTTTCTGGCGAAGACATTCGAATGAACGTTAACGACCCCCGTGAAATGGCTTCTCGTTTCAGAGGATGTGAAGATTTGTGTCCGCCGAGGAAAATACTGACGTGGTTTGATCAACAGTGATTTCACAGGTCAGCACGCCTTGATGTTTAACGCAACAGTAGCAAATATTTGCTGAGTCAATCAGCAGAGAGTTTGAAAAGTCAGCGCTCACCTTGCCGATCGCATCCTTCAGTCTTCTCTGACTCCATCGTTTCTCCACCGTCTTCCTCCCGCTTGACTCCTCCAGCTGCAGTGTCTGTGCACCCCGCGAGGTGCTGGGCGTTTTCAGCTCCTTCCCCTCTTCCGCGGCTGCCGAGGGGGCCCGGGGCGGCCCGCCACGAGTAAAAGTGCTGAGCTTTAGTTGAGGTATATAAGTAATCCGTAATGCGCCTTAAATGAACCCTCTGTCTCTCCCTCACGTCCTTTTTCTAAGCCTCCACGGGGGACAGGGGACCCCAGGCTCGCGCGCAACTGGTGCCCCTTCGCTCCATGCTCCAGACGCCCTTCCCTCCCCTGCCCTGTCCCGATCCCCCGTAGCCGTCAACCTGGACCCAACCGCACCGAGAACCGCCACGAGGGTTCACGCAGGAAATGCTGCTGTTAGTTATTCATCCAAGTCTCACGTGAGTTTTCTTCACATCTCAGAACATTTAGTAGATTGCTCGTTAAAAGGGTAGAAATAATTCCTATAGGAACAGCAGTTAAATAGGGACCTTTGAGTTACTAGGTACAGTAGTTTCTCTTTTACAAACGAAAGTCATGCCACTGTGCTGGAGAGCACAGTGACGCACTGGCTAGGAGAGTGAAGATTTGCTTTTGTGACACTAACTATTTACACGTTTTCAATTTAAAAAATTGACTAGTTTGATTAAATATAAGTATAGAACGTTTCTTCCATATACAAACTCTTGTTAGCTGATTAATTATTAAGGTGCTCAGAAGTGTGGAGGAAAAGAGAAGTTACAGTAGCTCAATCGTGTTTATATCTATTTACAAAGTTGCGCTGGTTTGCTTGCTGCCACCACTATGTTCAAGGAAGCTGAAAGCAAAGTGTCTGGGAGAAATGTGAACATTTGTCTATGCGTGATCATGGCCAGTTGGGAAATGCACAAGTGTAAAAATAGTCTGGGAGAAATGTGAATATTTGTCTATGCAGTTGGGAAATGCACAAGTGTAAAAATCTAATGCCACAGGAACCAAGGAGACCTTCTTCCCCTATGTGTAGGACCTTCTGCGCAAAAGACCACTCGACCAATTTAAGTGACTATTTGAACACAGCTGGAGTTTCCAATACAGTTTTGTTCAGATATTGGCCAAAGAGCACGGATTTCCGCTACGGAAAGGTATGGCAATATTTAGTACATGCAGTGCTCTGTCTGATCAGAGTAATGCGCAAACCATAATAATTTTTTTAGCAGTGGGGGGAAGTGTCATGGAGAAGGTAAGTGACCTCGCTCAGGCTCTATAGCTAGGGGGTGACAGAGGCAGCATCATGCTGTGAACCCCCCTGTTCCTCGCTCCCTGCTCTTGTCTAGTTCATACCGCCAGAATTTGCTGGTCTGCTGGGCAGTTGCCTGAGACAGGATTCACAGTATTAGGTTGTTAAATACATGGTCTTGGGCCTCACAAGTACTAAGAGACTTCAGAACTACCCCTGTACAGCAGAAGGGAAAACTTATGTGCGAGGAACCAAATAAGGAGAATGTGCTGTGCAAAAATTTTATCTTCCAATCAGAAAAAAATCCAAAGCGGCCCATATACGGTAGGTCAAATTCCTTCCCCATTAACATTCTCCTAGAACTATTTTCTGACTCATGGCCAAATTCTGCCTCTAGTTACATTCTCACAAGCTCTCTCCGGGCTGAAGGCAGAACATGGATATGCCTTTGCATTGCTTCTCTCCGTACAGACCGTACTTGGGTGAGTGCCTCAAAGGAGTCCTATGGTTGGTGTGTCTGGAACCTGCATGAAAATGCTGATTAGTGTCCTCATCGTTTTAAGATACTACACAAAAAGAAAGAAAAAGAAGTTGATTTGACTTCTGTTTGTAAACTTATCATGTACTGTCATCTTTCTGTTGTACATTTAAGTTCCAAAGCGGTCCCAGAGATTGCAAGGCAAGATTGTTAAGGCAGTATAAGAAACCCAGTATTTCATTCACACCTCTTGATTCCCTTAAATGTATTTCTAAGGCATCAAAAGGGGCATGCGGTTTGTGCTTGCCTTTTCAGAAAAAGGCATTCAGTAAAAAAAACTGACGCTCAATGACAGACTGAAGCCACTCAGCACAGGGCAATGGCCACACTATCAAAGAGGAACAGCGGGAGAAAGTGGTGCTTCCCACATGCGGGTGCTTCACCATCGTTCCTTCTGGTACACTTCTGTTTGTACGATCTCATTGGGGTGCTCAGCTATGCAGGCTCCGTTGATGTCATTGAGCTTGTTGTCTGGAAGATCCTCAGGTTTTGTGCAAAGTTTCAGTGCCCTGGAGATGAAGACATCCAAGTCAAACTCAGGGTCTGTTTCACTGCCTACTTCCTTGGATTCCTTGTGGAGATGGTGAGGAGAAGACGGCAGGCTCCGTTCTTGAATCTCTGGAAGAGGACTGGGACACTCAAGACCCACCTGCGTGCTCTTCACCCATTGAGCAATCTCCAGAAAGAGATTGGATGGTTCTTCTTCCAGAGATAGCTCAGCTGTGGGTGCTATGGTTGCTCTTTTCCAGTGCGATAAATCTAAAATCAGCTTGGGCTCTGAGTAATGATGGGGCTTATTGTCTCTCCACAGCAATTTGTCCAAGTAGGAAGGTGACCCCACTTTGTAATCACATGATTTCCCACAATCAACATCAAATACCCGGTCCATCGATGAGTGTGATAGCTCCAAGAACCTCTCTGAGCTGCTCTGTGAATATTTTCGTGGATCAACTTGTGCTTCTTCAGCAATGGATTCAGACCCTGCCCGTGGGTCTCGCTGGACCTCATCCATGTCGTGATATTTATCATGTCTCCATTCCAAATCAGAGGAGAGGCTTACTTGATACCTGGGAAAGATATGCTTCTATTAGACAGACAGCTGATGGCTTCATTGTAATTATCAGTGCTCAAACGGATATTCACACTGCTACTGCAACTTTTGCCTTTTGCTAATAAGCCATTTACGTACAGATCGCAAAGTTCTTTAAAACTAATACTCAGTCAAACCACAGCAAATCCTTGTGCAATATTAGAGAACTTTTTCTTGTGTGTTACAAGGCAGGGGTCTGAGCAATTTATCAAGAGAACTTGCCCAAGCTGCGCGGAGGGGACCAGTAATGGGAATAAAAGCCAAAGGACCAAACTGTCTGCTTTATTTAACTGGTTCTCACATTCCCTCCACCTAGGATTAAAATATGATTGGATAATCTTGAAAATCAAATTGTAAGTTGATTATTAAGAGTTGTCCCCAGCCCAGAAACAGCCATCGACAGTATGAGTGCTCCTCATCCACTGCGACAAAAGTAAGAAAAGATTAGTTTAAATCACCACTGAGATTGGACATCACCAGTTTACTGTGATGTCATGGACTGAGAGCATCCCTGAAGTATCACCTAGCTAAGTAACAACTTCTTAAACCGCTCATAACTACCTTGGTTGCGATTACCTGCAACACTCATTCTCAAACACAGTTTTCAAAGTGATTAGGAATTTTCTGGTTCCTAATTCAGCTGCATTTTAAAGACATGTTATCCCAGGTGTTGGGGCTCTATTTTTCAGTAATGAAACGCTCCTGAGGTGTCCCACAACACACAGGCCGAACCATTCCCCACTTCTAAAACACTTGGCTTGTACTGCAAAAGTTACAGCCCTATACCAAATCTCTCCGGCGGGGTGGGAGGACTAACAGTCCAGGTCACTGCTTATTGTGTCACGCCAGGAAATACAGAAACAAAGAGCTGAAAGCGTGGCAAGGTGAGCTTGAGCAACAGATTTGCTGCTTTGGTGACTATAACTGGCAGGAATCGGGGAGATGTGGGGATACACTGAAGAAACGCTGAGAAAAGCTTCCAGGTTTCCTCTTTATTTCATTTATTTGGTTGTTCCCCCACCCTCTACCCTGGTACTTGTTCACTCTGACAGAGAGATTAATAAGAGCGAACGCATGGGATTTCTTTAGATTATTTTTTGAATGCTGGTGAAATTTAGTGGATTAACAAGGTCTAGAGATTTAACTGCTATTCGGAGAGGAACGATGCTGCAGGCTTCCTCAGACAGTCATACTGCTGAGACAGAAGGAGCTCTATAGGAAAGTGAACACAGTTAGTTCTTAGCTACTTATTCTGTCCTAGCCTGCTCTGGTCACTGGGAAGGGCCTAGTAATTAGGATAATAATCTAGGACATAAGAGACTTCAGTCTAGGTCGTTGATCTGCTCTAAACTTCCTGCATGACTTTCAGCAAACCATTTAAAATTCAATACATTCATGGATACTTTTTTCCCCAAGGATCCCAGAACGGTGGCTTCTGGGGCTTATGCCTGACCCCTGAAAGGTACAAGAATTGCAACATTATTCTATAACTGGTATTATATGAACAGGTGACAGAGGGAGAACCATAGCGTCCTTTAGACAGATGCAACTCGACTGAAGACAATATAGTCTGTTAATAAAACCAACAGCAGAGAACTACCCAGTAACTTGAACATGCACAACCAAAAGGCATTCCCTGTGGAAATCAATGACAAAACGTCCACCGACTTCAGCAAGGTGCCAGCTTGGGTGAGATTTACAACACGGCACAAACAAGGAAAACTAGGTGTCCTTTGTGGGTTTAGAGCACGTCTTACTGAACCAAATTAACAACAGGTCAGAGACCTGCCAGTCACGTTTTGCCTATAAACTTCAAGTGAACATACAGTCTGTAGACCAGCCCTGGATACTGTACCTGTCCCAGTTGGACATCTGGCTCTGGTTGGCTTCCATCAGTAAAATATCATCAATCTCATCCTCAATCCGGAACGGATGCTGAGACACTGGTTCATCCTCAGGGCAAGAATACGGACTCATATAAGGATGCTGCAGACCCATCTCAGCCGTTAATCGATCCATAGGGTTAAATGTCAGTATTTTCTCCAGAAAATCAATAGCTGTGAATCACAGAGAAACAAGCTCACTGATTCCTCAAAAGCAATACCAGCTTTCTTTCCAAGAACAGCCTCGTGAATCCCCCATAACACATCTGCTTGAAGAGAGAAAGGAATTAAAGGTCAAGTCCTATGTGCATCTAACACAGGCACGTTCATCCTCACCGCATACGCATCAGTCTTACCCCTGATGAGATCTGTGTGCTTGCACTGGAACAATCCTGCAGCCTACAGCTTTTAGTTCATTTAGCAAAACAGAAGAAATGACAGTCAAGAGCACCGCATCTCCACAGGACGGAGTATACACATTATACTAGGTGCTGTGATCCAGGGCCTCAATCACACCCCACTATTTCCAACAGAGAAAAGGCCTCTCTGTGTATACTTTAGGGTGGCCTGACTTATGCCTTTGTTAGCATTTTGGAATGTGGTGCCTCCAAGTATGGATGAAATTAATGCGGATACTTGCAGTTTGGGTGTTGCCAGGATTTGATTCCAGGCTGTCAGATCCATGCGGCAAGCACATTCCATTTCAGATAACTAATTTCACATGTGTATGTGCAACTGAAGTGGAATTAGATTTAAAGAGCAATTTTTAAAAGTCTCTGGCATGACCGACACTATGAAATTGCTTTGTCCATTAATATTTACAGAATTCTGACTCTTTCTGTGATGAGGAGGGAGGAAATTAAGGGCAATTAAAGTGAACAGAATTAAATGCAAACATACAGGATTGTGATTTTCTGAAGATTCCTTTTGCTCAGGTTATGCAAAAAGATCAAATCCTGCTATCAAAGACATACTGCTTTTTCAGATGATTCTTGGTCTACAGACGAGCTCCTTAAAGTTCAGATAATACAAATAGGAATGCGCCTTTCTTCAGCTAGATATTTTTCATTGTACCTTCGGAAATATCCCCATTAAAAATGCAGTGGTATGGATGGGACTGTTTCTTTGTGCTAAAGAAATCTTAGGGACAAAAATCACTCAGCAGAAAAGACGGGCCATACCTATTGCCTCAATGCTTAAATATTAACCAATATCCAATTGTCTCCTACTGGATTATTTCCTTGCTTGGATTAATTAAGTAGGAAGGAATCAATAGTTTCATAAGGTCACTGACTTCAGGCAAGGAGCATGGCGGAACAATATATTACAAGTTCAGGTCACATAGGCAGGAAAATTTCAATGAATTATGTAAGCATTGCAGGTGACCTTTCTTCCCACAGCAATGACAGGGAATAAATCCATTTAGTACTTACTGGAAGCTGACGTAGTCTCTAGATAACCAAGGCTGATGAGTATCACAATTGCTAGGCATCTATAACGGACTCTTTTACAACTAAGAGTTACGCTGGTGAACACAAGTAGGGCTCAGTCTTGACGTGTTACGCGCATCAAAGCAAATTCACCCTTGCGGATCCTGCACGTTCAATGTCAGACTCGCTGGCAGCGGCGTGCCTAGCGCAGGGAGGACACAACATGCACCCCCCGACACACATTTCGGAGCAGAGAGAGGGCAAAGCCCAAATACAGGACTGTGTAAGTAGGTATTCAGGGGCACAGGCTGCCCCACGAGAACATTTCTGATCCAGCGAGCCTCCAGGAGGACTCAGGTGGTAACCAAAGAAACAGAAGTCCGGGTATGCCATCCCGTTTGAGGCCCTGGAAAGAGCTCTGAAGAGTTCGTGTGGTGCACTGGTACACACTGCTCCACTTTGACTCCTAGGTGCGATGCCACCCTGCAATGTGTGACTACCTACAAAGCAGCCAACAGTAAAGTTCAGGTCCAAAAGCCTATGGTTTGCAGCCCTCTCGCAACAACATAGTTCATTTTTTTTAGCTTTAGCCAAAGGAGGGAATTGACTGAAGTGGTGATCAATCGTTCCAGGCCACGACAGCCTGAAGACAAGCGATTCCCCAGCTCCAGTCACACCAGAGTGCTTTGACAAAGGTTTTGCCTCTAGCAACCATCTCACAGAGTTCAGACATTTGTGGAGTAAAAGCATTTATTTTCTTGTAGTATTCAATTTTATTCATCAAAGAAGCACAACAAGAAAATGAACAAGGCTTGAAAATAACTTCTGGGCTGACACCTCACCACTCGAGGAGAGGCATGTGAACACAGCAAAGCGAAGCTGGCTTGGGGGGAATGTGACATGCCTTGGAAAGCGTTCGAGACTTTGAGGTACACTTATTTCAGTGTCAGCTACCTACAACAAGGCTACTGAGTTATACCCGCTCTCTTGCAACCCACGCCTCCCAGCAGGAGAAAGAAGAGCACGATCTGGGGTGGGTCGCTGATGGAAGAGTGCGTGTGTGTTCAGTGCTGGACAATGCTCCTTCCCCTTCCTAAAGCCCCAGCCAGTCCCCAGGGTGACCGGCCAATCCAGTGGGGGATTCAGGTACAAAGGGATGAGGGTTGTGGAAGTTGGGGCCAGACAGCTCCTTCCTCCCACAAACCTTCTTCACCTCCTCAGTCCATCTTCTAAGTAGCACCATAACATGTTCCCTCAGGGCCTGCTAAGATCCCTACCTACGAGATGGCCAAGGCCAGTACAGAAATGAAAGTACTATAGGATGCATCTGGCAAGCTGTGCTGCACAGCCTGAGATTTCTCAACTCATAATCACCAGCATTCATGCACTTTTCCTTAGAGAACAATCTCTGTAACTCACTGAGGAAGTAAGTCTGAAAGTAAGGCAGCCAGAGGAAGTCCAACCGCCAAACACTACAGTACCTTCACTGTTCACTTCGGGGAGCAGCTTGCGCAGGGGCTTCCTCACTTCCCAGGTACTGTTGATGAAACTGGGCATCACTTTGAGCAGCTCCTCTTTGTCTTCCTCGTGGATCACAGGGATCGTCTCCAGAATAAGTTGCATCTGTTCCAGCTCATGACCCCCTAAACAAGAAGAAAACAGTGAGCTGGCCCCAGAACTTAGATCAGTGGGGCCGGTGTTATCAGCCACACACCTGCACGACCACCCCTCCGCAATGAATCCTCTGTCACCGCAGTGCCACACCTCAGGAGCAGCAAACACCGGACAAACTGACGTTGGTGGCATGAGGCACTGCTCTTTTTTCCCAAGGACAATTCAGTTGCCACCTTGTTACGAACCAGATGCAATGATGTCTCTGGATCACTTCAGCTCCCTGCCCTTCTGTTCCCATCCCATCTTTTGCTCAAAAGCTCTACTTTAAGGCTGAGCTCTTCAGCACAAGGCTGCCCTTCACCCATGTATGCAAAGCAGGTACCAAGCACTTTAACGCCACGCTGCTGTTGCTCTCTCTCTTGCTACCTCTGCTCAGCTCAACGGGCAGTTCCTCTGTGCGCACAACCGTGCTCAAGCCTGGAAAAGGTACCGGCTCCCTGTCCCACACTCCCTGGCTCTGCCCCCGGCATCGGTTGAGGTTTCTCCTATCGCTGGTCTCCTGCTCTCTGCCTCTCCGTCAGTCTGTCCTCCCTTAATAATCCTGACCCCGCCGGCCAATCTCAGCTCACTCTGACAGTGCAATAGCTCCATTAAGATCCCCAAAGCCTTCAGAAAAGAGGCAGAGAACTTTCTGGCTATTACGACTGCATCTACATAAGAGCTTTTTGCAGTCTTATAAACATCCCCAACCAAACACTGCTCTTAAGGCCGTTATGATGGCAGCAGAGTTGGCAGCATGCCCCTGGCCTTTATCAGCACCGAGAGAAGGTGGCATGACCGCGGACGTGGCGGATCAGGGCAGCTGAGGAGCCTGCCATGCGCTCCAGTCCTCCCTCTCTTCTTTCGGGCCTGCCCGGTTCCATGTGAATATTTGGAAGTGGACAGCTTGGAGTAACTGTGGGAATTAACAGTCAATTTTTGGAGGTCCAGAGAGAGGAGCTGTGACCATAGCTAAGCGTGCTGCACATTGAGCATCATGGCTTCTGGATGCAGAACGGGTCGCACCCTGCACAAGCAGAGCAGCAGGTGAGAGCTCCCTCCCCTGCAACCTCCGATCGCCCCCATGTCCCCGGGCAGCCCTGGCCTTCTGCCCTTCCGGGAACGCTTGTCTCCGAGTGCTCCTGGGCCTGTAACGTGCACTAAAGAGCGCAAAGGGCAGCAGAGGCAGCTCCACCCCCGGCTTCTCGCAGAAACTGGCAATACAGTCACAGAGCAAAGGAAATGCAGTTCCCAGTTTCCACCCTGACGTGGACATGTTGAGGAGCCACCAGAGTCTGCCAAAGGGGAACGCAGGAGGAGGAGGGGAAAGGGGCAGGGAAGACAATACGCAGCACCAAAAATCCCATTTCATCTTGGCCAGGTATTCCCCAAACTGGCAGGATAGCATGGTCCCTCTTGCCTTCCCTTGAATGGGGCCGGCACGTTTCGATATGCCATCCCTGCAGCTTCGGGAGGCATCACTTGGATCGCCAGCTCCTAGCTTTGGAAACCAAAAGTCACGCCAAAAGCCAGCTGCAGAATCACCCCGCGCTGGCCAGTGGGGCTCTCGGCCAACATCTCTTGCCTTGCTTGGCCTTTTCCAAGGCAAGCAGGACTCCGTGTTTTACTGGATGAGGCTAAATGTGCTCTCTTTTATTTCTCCTACGCAGCAGCATGCAAAATGACATTCCAGGGTGTCACAGCGTCCTCAGGTGAGACGCCTCCATCTGCACATGGGCCTCTATCTAGGTGGTCCCCTGGCAGACCTCCAGCTGTTCGTCATGTCACTGGGATTCCCAGCTGCTCCAAAGTAATGACGATCAGGCCACCCATGAGGACAGGTACACATAATGTGCTATGCCCCCAGTAAAGCCCGATCTCCTCTTTTTAAGGGTACATAGTTGACCTAGATGATTAGCCTTCCTGGTATAATTGACAGGAGTTTATTTTTTTCCTGACAAAAAGTTGATTTATGAAGTCTAAGGTCGGAGCGGAGTCTGGCACGGCTGCACAGCTCAAGCCACACACGTCACAGGCGAAACTGGTGCTTGGGGATCCCGGCTTTATCTCCTGATTTGCACTGCAAGTTCAATCTAGTTGCAGCAAGACCCATAGACTCCTAGTCTGTCAGAACCGCAGCACTTAATTGCTGTAATAAAACTCGGTGAGCTCACAGAGGCTTGGACACACATTACACGACTTTAAAATCTCCTTCAGAGCATCAGCGTAATGTTTTGGCTAAGCTGGCCAACTATTCTAAATGGTTGAGAAGCAGAAACCATACCCGACTGAAATCACGGAGCACAACTGCTGATATCTATTAGCGGGACTGTGAAAGGCCACACGCTTAAGCCTGCTGCGAAAAGGGGATACGGCTAATCGCCACGTACCTGCCACAGCCTACGAAGCCTGGGAGGGCCTGCGTTGCTGCGGGCTGCAAGGAGAGGAATGCAGGCTTTAGTCTGCCTCCCAACCGGCTCTTCAAGCAAGCCTAGGGCTGGGCTCATAATCGCAAATGAACCAGCCCAGCTCTAGATTTAATTCAAATCTGGTTCTGCTATTTCTCCACACTGGAGCTTAAACATTGCAATTTCCTAACCATATCCAGCCTAGCTGTTGGGAGCAACTTCAAGGCAGCGATGTCAACAATCCTAGCAATAGTATTGGGAAACTTTTTTTTTTTTTTAAATCCTTTCCACATATTCCTAAACTTCCACCCAGAACTGGCTAGCAGTCAGCGATAAGCGAGAAACAGTAGCGCCAGCAGAGTGGAGCAAAGCCAACAGCCCTAATTAATGAAGGTTAATCCTATTCTTTAGCACAGTATTGAATTTGACCAAGAGCTCTGCTGACAATTTCCAGCTTCTTACGTGTACAAAGAAGCTGCCTGGCACAAATACTGAGTTGTACTATCGATCTTCTGTCCGCCAGAAATGCCGATTATAAATTTTCTGTCCCTAGAGCCGGGACCATCCATTAAGATAGTGAGCTGTCCAGAGCAGACAAACCAACAGGGATTTTCATGCTACCACGTTCCTTGCTGTCTGACTGACAGTTTTCCAGCAGCTTTACTCACAAGCGGCAAAGGGCAAGAGGAACGAACCACTGCCCCTGGAGCATGCACGGCACAGCACCTCTGCCCAGTCGGCAAGCAGGGCAGAGCGTCCTCATCGGGAGAAATCGCATCAAAACACTGATGTTTTAAATGATTATTGCTGCTAGCAAAGACAAGGTCACTTCTAGCTTGTCACTCTTGTAGTACTGGAGATCAGCTGTGTCTGATGGACTCGCAGGGGCCACCAACTCTCAGGGAGACACTATAGGGCGCCTGCGCCACCCAGCTGAGAGCCTGGCTCACAGACACGTGCCACCAGGCCGGGATCCACAAGCTCACAGTGTTGAACCCTCTAGGGCAGCCTGCAGCAAAGAGGACAACAGCTAGTTATCCCATCTCCACGTGCTCAGCCTTTCTGGGGGCGCTGGGGTGACGCCTGGCAGGGCTGCAATGCCATCGCCTTCTGAACCCTGCCCCTGCGGATGCAGCTAAGGAACAGGGGAACTGCATGGGTAGACAGGACCGTAGTCAGGTTCTGCCGGCCTCAACGTTGGCCAAGCCCCAACACGTCATTGCGGGCTGCGTGCCCTCGGGCACCCCTTCCCCTTCGGTGGCACCTGAAACGATGCTTCGCTCCCCAGCCTGGGGCTCCCTGTGGGCCTGCAGCGAGGGCCACTTTCACCCCAAATGACGATACCCTTAGCTAGGACCTGAGAATGGGCTTAGACATCCCCAAACCAACAGTTACATTAGTGCAGCTGGTCAGCATCACACCACACACACGCAGGACAATCACAAAAGAAGATATTCCGGGTCAGAGCAGTAAGAGAAGCAAAACGCATAGCCCTATTGACACAGCAGAGATCTCTTACTCTTCTGCAAAATGTAGCATTAGGCAGCGTGATACTCTTCTAGGATCAGTCCAGTGGCAAATGAACTCACTTTCCTTTAGAAGAACTAATTTGAGGTCATTTAGAAGTTTGCAAAATGGTGAAACAAAGATGACCAATAGGAAACAAATGCTTTCTTACTCAGGCTAATTCCCAAATTGGGATCAAAATTACAGGGCATTAAAAGTCAAGAAGGCTTGGTGGCTATTCTCCTTTCAGCGCAGTTCCAGCCGCTGACCCCGAAGGCAACGAGCGCAGCACAAAGGCACAATGTTTCGTCACACAGAGACACTGCTAATTGACCTGGAACAGTCTACGGCTCGTAGGAACCCAGTTCTCTCCCCATTATCTTCTATTTGTGTAATTCCTAGGGAGCTGCTGAATGCATTAATTCATGAAAAGAAAAACACGAACTAAAGACAGGATAAATGCAGTGTCATTGTCAGACTAGAGGATTAGAAGCTCAGCTTCGTGCATGTGTTGTTGAAAAGGAAATTCTTCCCCTAGGCTTGCAGGCAAATCTAGGATGAACATTCAAGCCCTGATGAAGACTTCCCCGGCAAGTGAGACACACGTGTCTGACCAATCCCATGGAAAAAATCACCATACAGCCTTCTGTAACCTTGCAGTGCTCTGCCACGTGCAGCTCTCCACTGGCTGCTCTCCAGAGATCTTCAAGGACAGAAGGCTCTTCTCTTTCTTCTGTTTTCTTTTTCTTCCATGGACGCTGCTTTTGGATATGTCTCCGCAAGCAGAGGGGTGGAAAATCACTGGCGGGAGCTGTAAACTACTTAGTTCTAGTACAGGAGGCAATTGAAAACAGAGAGAGCTCAACAAACTGATTGACTTGCTTCCTCAGCCGCCGAGCATCGCAGGCCCATGCCCCCCGCACTGCAGCGACCGCTGAGATGACTGACAGCAGAGCTCAGGTTTTATAAAACTGTCAAGTTCTCAGGCCTCTGTTTTCCAGGCAGAAACCTCCGTAATTTCCAGCTCTGCAAACTGCGTGGCTCTCTGACCAGGGGGAGGACAGGCTTCTCCTCTC